GTAATCTATGTTGATGTATTATCGACGATTTATTTTATTACATTAAAAGTATGATCAAAATACCTTGAATGTTTCGAGGAAGGGACTTAGCTGATCGCAGGACATGAGAGAACTAGTCGAGGAACCGTACCAAGCTACATGAGCCTGTGGTCCGGATGATGTACCATCTTCCTTACAGGAAACCGTAATACTGAGAACCTGTAACGATTTTAACCAATTAACAGACATTAACAAACATAGCTTTGGTATCGGATTAGTTTCCTGTGTACATAACTACACATAGGTATATATAATATATACATATATACATACATATATATGTATGATGTATGTATATATGTACGTATGCATGTATGCATGTATGTATTGGTGTATATATATATATACCTTTCCAGGCCACCAAGGGAAACCATGGATCTTTCCCCACACAACATCCCCAACGTCCATTCTCCTGCCATTGGCAGTGAGACAATGAGCCACTGGCGTTGCTGCCAAACGCATGACGAGAGGGTGCGACTGGGGTGGAAAATCCGGGGCAGTTTCTCCGGCATCCACTTCAGCCTCCTGTTCGCTAAGCTCGTCGCTACTGGCGCCGGGGCTTTTGCAGCCGGACGAAGCGTTGCTCACAGGATAATCGCATCTTGCGTAAGCGTTCGTGTTCAACCTCTTCAAAGAGATTGAGAGTTTCTGTTTCAGGCACTGTTCCTTTATAGCCGTATAAGTTTCACCACCCGGTAGAACATTCCAATTTTGTTGACATTCCGTTGTCGTTGTACCAGACTCGACACAGGATTCTTGCTGTTGCTGTTGCTGTTGCTGCTGTTGATTTTTGTGTTTTCGATCATCCTTGTGTTTCTTCTTATGTTTCACCTTATGCTTGCGACGATGATAAAGCAAAGGATCGTAGCTTGTGTTATATCTATAAAATAGAAATCTTTTCTTACTGTCTGATCTCAATGATCAAGATCGTGATATGCGTGAGAGTTACTTTAACGTACCGTGGAGAACCATTACAAGGTGATCTGGCCGGTGAGACACCACCGCCCAACATTTTCCTTCTTGCTTCCTTCTTAGCTTTCTTCAATGCTCTTTTCGCAGCCTTAGCACTGGCGTCCTTTACACCCTGCTTCTGCGGATCTATCTGTTCTTGCCCATCGTCCTCAACATCCTCGCAATAATCATAACCATTATCGAAATTCCTTGGTAATTCCAAAGGATCTCGATCGGTTTCAGCTTGCACGTCGTCCGGATCATCGGTCTCCTGCTCGTATTCTGGGTCTTGAATTTTCGAAGGTATCTTCAATACGGTACCCTCTCCTTGAGCACCGAAAGAAATCTTGATAATAGGTGTGGTCCTGGTAGTTCTCGTTGGATCCTCGAACACAGACTCATCCCAAAGATCCTCCATAGAACCAACTGATCTTTTTTTCCTTGGTACTCGACCGATCCTCGGTCTCATCGTCGAATCAGCCGCAGCCAAGGTCTTCTTATCCTCTTCTTCAGGCACCTTCGCACTCTCCACCGAGGAGCTACTCAATCTTCTCGGTGTTGCGCAATAAGCCATCGAAGGATTACTATCGCAATCCGTAGACTCAACTCGATCCTCTGGACGCGTTAGGGTATTCCTGCTCGAATCATCAGCCTCGCTGCTGCTACTCCAATAAGTAGATGGTACTCCTGTTGGCAGTTCTACCTTACCTACGAAATCAGGTCACGATATCAATTTCTATGAGACGCCTACGAGAGACTCTATCGGGTGAATGTGTGTGTGTTTTTGTTTTTTCGAATCTATCGTAAGAGACTCTTTGAGGACTCACCAGGTCCATGCATAGCGTTGCTGATCTCGTTCGGTTGTAATCTTGAAAGTTTTGGTATCAAAGAAGATGGGCCAAGCTTCGAAGAGTCAGGACTCGACGAGGACGTCGCTGGTTTCATCACCGTTGTCATCATCGTCGTTGTCGCCGTCGCCGTCGCCGTCGCCGTCACCGTCGCAGTCATCGTCGTATTCGTATTTTCCGAAAAGAATGTCCTTTGATTCTTTTGCGGTTGCTGACTACAACGTTGACGATCGCTTCTCCTCGTAGGTACACTTGATTGCTGTTGATGAGTTTGTTGCTGTTGATGATGTGAATGTTGTTGAGTTTGTTGCTGTTGTTGTTGTTGCTGCTGCTGCTGCTGTTGTTGTTGTTGCTGTTGTTGCTGCTGCTGCTGTTGTTCCTCATCATGCTTTCGTTTACGGCTTACGTCGACGTTCTCGCTATTCTCATTACAAATCGAACGACACTTGCTACAGAGAACTTGACGGGGCCTAAGCCTGACCGTTGGCCGTGCGTTTTTATATCTAGCTGGTGGATTTATGCTCCTACGTAAGTCGACCTTAGTCGGACCGCTCGTGTTTTTCCTATCTTGGAAATAACTGAACCGTGCCGCGATCGTCGCCAACTTGTCGCCGTCAGGATCCGGTACCGGTTCCGGAGGTTGAACGCCACAGGGAAGACCCCTGGAAAATTTCAACAAATATTCTAACTTTCTTTCCCATCTCTTTTCGTTTAATCGATAATATCAATTCTCTTACGTGAAGAAATTATTAATGACTATATAATTAATCACTTTTCAATTATAAAAATAAATCATTCTCAAAATCATTGTCGACGAAATAATTGATATAGATAATGAAAACGTATTTGTTAAATAAAGATATTTTATTAATATCGAAAATGAAAATTATAAAAAGTTTATCGATGAGACGATATAAATAGAAATTATCGATGTTGAAAATTTATAATTGTAAAAGAGATAGAGAGAGAGAGAGAGAGAGAGAGAGAGAGAGAGAGAGAGAGAGAGAGAGAGAGAGAGAGAGAGAGAGAGAGAGAGAGAGAGAGAGAGAGAGAGAGAGAGAGAGAGAGAGAGAGAGACAAAAAAAAGAGAGAGAGGTAGAGAGATAGAGAGATAAATTTTGTAACGAGTCTGATGTACAATACAAGCGGAAGGAATTCCGTTATCGCTTAATCGCCCGTTTCGGAGCCCCAATATTGATTTGCGAAATCAGGGTTGGTCCGACGAAGCGTCGATAAAGTGCTCGTCATTAGCTTTATCCGCGAATTAACGTCGATCGCAGATGCGTGAGTTCGCATTTTTTAAATTAACTCCGTTTTTATACGAGCACATTCGGGCCATTTATCTACGTTGATATACAGGGTGACATAATAAAATTAAGAAAAGAAAAAAATATTTCTTTTTATTATTATTATTATTATTATTATTATTATTATTATTATTTTTATCATTGCTTTTTTTTAAAAATATCACGCGATCTAAAAAGCGTTCAAATCTTTTTCAAACCATTCGATAATATTCTCTAACTTACATTGTTGAGATACGAAGATGATCCAAAGATAATAATCTTTTTCTTTTCTTTTCTTTTTTTTTTTTCTTTTCTTTTCTTTTTTTTTTTCTTTTTTAATAATTTTTAATGGCTACCACGTTAATGACAAAATTATTTAAAATGTAAATGTGAACGAAAACAAATTTCTAAATAAGAATGAAAGACGACCATTCACTTTGACCTCCGTGATAATATATATTTCGAAATTATATTTCATTTATAATCGGGTCGATATCGATAATAAGTAAGTAACTTCAAACTAGCATATTAGAATGTAGTCAAATTTTCGATGTAACTTAGAAACTTTTGATATGGAAGTATTCTACATGATATTCATTCTAAACTTCCTTCTCGGATTTGTCTAAAATAACTCGTGAATTTGAAATTCACGTAAGATCAAGAAAGATCAAAATAAAAATTTCCATCCACTAACTCCTCCAAGAAAAAAGAAAAAGAACGATTAACATTAATCAAACTATAAAGAAATATCAGAACGCTATTAGTATGACTAACACTTTAGTAAGACAAACAAAATTTCAAATAAATATATTACCTACCAAAAGAGAACTTACTGATACATTTACTTAAGCGCGGATGTTACAACATTGATTTGCATAAAAAAAAAAGGAAGGAAAAAAAAATAGCTGATTACAATTTTTAAGTAAAACGCTTGTTCAACGATGCGTTAAAACTTGAAAAAAATCGTTTGAACGATCTACAAGAAAAAATATAAATATATTTCGATAAATAAACCGTCTTATGAGATGGTACCATTGTTTTGTTAGTATGGTTTCGTAATAGTGAAAAACGTCTGCGTAATGCCGAGATTCTGTGTTCGCGCGAACCACAAGAGATTATTGGGCAACGTGGTGAACATATACATACCCACATAGCACACACGCGTGAACACATACATATACATACTATATAGATACATAACGATGCACACATCCATTTTATTCGGTCGGGTTTCGCATATGTGCAAGTATATATATATGTTGTATATACATATGTGTTTGTGTGCGTGTATATATATATATATATATATATATATATATATATATATGTAATAAGCATGCATCTATATATAATATATGTACATATGTATACATACACAGCTACAGATACAGGACAGGAACAGAACAGAACAGAACAGACAACCACAACGACGTATTGATTCTAGAGGGCGGACAATGAACGACAGCCTCAACTCAGTATATATCTATTAATATTTTTCAACTTTTCCTTCATCTTTCCTGCAAGTAACTTGTTCGGATAACTTGGTAAACAAATTTTGAGAAAATTCATTTAAGAACAATACGATACGATTTTCAAGTTTCCAAAGAAATAAGAAAAGAGAAACAAATATGTGTATGTGTAAGGATGTGTATGTATTTGCCTATTATATATATATTTGTGCTATATATATATATATATATATATATATATATATATATAGCATGTGTAGTACTATATATATATATATATATATATAGTACTACACAACACACACACACACAGAGAGAGAGAAAGAGAGAGAGACACACATAATTGCATCAACGTATGTCACGTTTCCAGAAAATTACCTAACTTTCCGTGATCTCTCAAAACACCT